GTCAGTTGGTGAGTAGGTGGGATAGTTTGGGCGGATGCAGTCATAAAGTCTCACCACTCGTCCAACCTGTGACTCTTTCACTACGTCATGAGCTGGAGGGGAAATCCCAGCCTGATTGGTGTAGAGCTGGGAAACACGCTGATGTCAGCGTTATGTCACAGAGCAGCTCCACACTCATTCCACTCACTAGCAGAATCTTCTATTCTTCCTATTGTAACTTTCTTTCCTTTCTTTTTTCTCTCCAGCAATTACAGGGACAAAACAGTCGGAACAAATTGTAGTTCTTTATAAATTGATTTTTCCTTTTCGGTAGAGTAACGTGTCGTCATGTCTGTGGAACCTTTCAAACACGTGGCTTAAAATTGATTTAAACCAGAAATGTTTTATGAATTTAAAAATGCTGAAAATAGCAGACTGATTAATAAAGTCTGAGATTAACGTACTGCATTAGTGGATGGTTTTATTAAATAAACTCCAATCTCTGGTAAACCAATCTAAAACTGTCAATTTTGCATTCAAACAGTCGTTTATCGCTTCCATCCACACCTAACTAATCAGATTTGAAGTTTTCAGGAGTTTCTTTCATGTGGTAAGTCTCATTTTCTATGAGCGCTCTCTTTACTAACAGCGATGTGTCTGAAAACGCAGAGTAGAGGCCAAACGTCAGTGATATTCATCATTAATCCAGATCAATATCAGAACTACAACCATTGATGTCTGAGAAAAATGAGGTGACGAGATGAAAAAAGAGAAGAGTCAGCTTTGAGATGGTGCAGATTTCTGCTTTTTATTAAAATGACACCAAGAAAATAATTTAAGATAAATAAAACATGAATAAATTATCTAAAGAAGAAGTCAATTGCAGTTAAGTGTTAACCTGTGTCCAACAATATGAACTGACCTGAAATAACCTTTTAAATATCACAATAAATATGAGCAAAAATGAAGTGGAACATTGAAACCTGAAACAAATCTCTGAATAAACCAAGAAGTAAGTAAACCCTCAAGTAAACCCCCCAAGTTCACATTCTGCTAGAAAAAAGCTGACAATGGTATCGTCCACCCTTAAGTTCCCTCCTTTCATCCCTATTGGGTTAATACTCTTACTAAGTACATCTTATTTAATGAAAGTAGGACTTTGGGCTTTAATGCAACACAGAGGTACCGGGAGGAACAGATTTGGCTTTGGACGGACTAATACAATAATTAAGCATCTTCATTGTAAACGAGTCATCCTTCAGAAGAGCCCCGATCAGCATTTGTAGGAGCTGACCACCGAAGCCGCCTGGTAGACTTCTATGAACTCAGCCAGAGCCTTCCTCTGCACCATGGTGTCGTCCACCTGCAGACACAGCCACTGACCAGTCAGAAACCTGCTCTCAAACCAGCGGGCAGCCCTTCTGAGTCTCACCAAAAGAGTGTTCCAGTGATTAAAAGCAAGTTTATTTTACGTATCAATTCAAAGTGCTTCACAGAGAATTTAAAAGCAGAAAAACAATAAAAATAATACAAATGAGACGAATAGATGAAAAGTGAAGGGTGCAGATAAAATACTTTCAGTTTTTATCTGCACAGTTAAACAGAAGCGTTTTCATCTGGTACACATTCAGAGCTGAGTTCTGTCTCACGTCTTCAAGAAGACGGACCCAGATTTTTGGAGCCTGGAACTGAAATGTTTTATTTTTATTACTCTAACTAACCCTTTTCATACTATAATAAATTTGACCCTTTTATTTTCTCATTTCAGTCCTTGTTGAGCGTTTTCAGAGGAATGCGATTTTTTTTTTTTAAGGTACTTTGGAGAGTAATGGAGCTCAAATCTAATATTTTAAGCTCCTTATAATTAAGACGACTCTGCTTGTAAATAAATATTTAGAAAAATCCCTGATTTCATTTTTTTGTTTCTCTTTTCAGTATATTAAGAGATGAGGGCTGGATCAGCAAATTTTGTTCACTAAATGAAATGTAATTTCCTGTGAAACTGACAAAATGATCAAGCAGCAGCTTTACTAATGAAAGCTTGTTGGAATAAGTGTGATCAGGTACTCTGAGGACGGGTTTGATCTGCTGACGCTGGTCAGTTTGAGTGGAAGACTAAATGCTGCCTTCAGGTGTGCCTGGAGACAGGAAACCCAGACCTTTGTTTCTGTCTAATACCTCTGAACGGGGATGCTTCTTGTTGGGACTTGGTTGAGGTTCCTTACACAGTAAAACCGTAAAACGAACCCACCCATAGCCAGTGAACGCATCACTTAAACTGAACCAATAACGAGCAGAAGCTGTTCGTTACCTGCATCTCGCTGAGCTCTCTGAGAACAGCCTCTTTGTTGTCGTTCACGGGACGATTCAGGTGCCTCTTCAGGTCGTCCAGTAACTTTTTGAGCTCCTTGAGGGCTGAGGTGACTTTGGACCTCTTGGGCTCTGGCAGGTCCTCCAGCAGGCCCGAGGCGTGGCCCTTCCCGTGGGTTTTGTGGTGGCCGTGCGGCAGGATGCTGGAGAAGATGCGCGTGTACACGTCCAGGGTGGCGTTGATGAGCTGCGCATCGTTTTGCTTCTGTGGAGGAGCCGAGAGTCGGTTTACAGCTCTGGAAAACGGCCCAAACTGCCTCCTCTGGCTGAGAGCTTTCGTTTGCTCTTTAGCCATCACAAAGGCTCAGAATAACTTGGTACTTTGCTTCAAAGCTCGCAGTTCAGATCATGAAACAATTTCCAAAGATTAATCAAACTTTTCTTGTAAGATCAGGCTTTTTTTTTACATTTTTTACCATCTAAAAATATTATTTTTGTTGCCCAATATTTAGCAAAAAGCTGTCGCTGATTGATGTTTAACAATTTAAACATTGTAGCTATTATTCACACATTTCTATGCATTTCTATTATATTAAGAACCTCTGCTATTGTAAATGCATTTTTTTCAATTAAAGTGAGTGATGATCAACTATTCTGCCTTAGAAAAAGATTTAAAAAAAATTTTTAACCCCTTTTATGTCTTTTGATGTGGCGATCCTCTGTTATAATTGTGGCTATCAGGATTTCAGATGCCACACAATCACACTTAAAGCATAAAAAAAAAACATTGGAAGGCAATCTAAATTCAACATGTATGGAATATAAAAGCATGTTAAAATTCTGTTGCTTTTCCACAAATTGCCTTCTTTGCTTTGCAGCTTCTGCTATAGAGCTGTGAAAATTATCCACAAATCCCTGTCTGCAGCTACGCGTTTTCACTTTCCAGTTTCACTTGCGTTTCAGCCAAAGTGACTTAAAAGTCACAGATACAATTAAGCAACTTGGGATTCAGTGTCTTGGCTAAAGGACACTTCAACATGTGGCGGGGAATTGATCCAGCAACCTGTCTGCTCTTCGCCCTGAATCCCCCCCTTTATCAGCTGAGACCCCTTATCCTGTTGGCATCAATCAACACAACATTGCTCCTAAATTTTTTATTCCAAACCCTCAGAAAGGGACGTTTTAGGTTGAGAAAACACTGGAGCCCAGGCGGGGGGAAAATTATAACTTCAAAGCTCCAATGAAGACTTGGATCTTTAGAGCTTTCCTTTAGTTTTAGAAGATCTTTTCAGTTAATGTAGGCTTGCATGCTCTTCAGTCTGAGTGTTCTTACCAGGCAGGAGTTGTTGATACTTTGAAGGACGGAGCTGAAGAGAGGATGGAGGCCGACCGCTGGCAGCTTCAGCTCCTGAAAAGCATTCAGTTATTAGATGGACTTTACTTGTACAAAGCTTTTCTCAATTAAAGCTCAAAGCACTTTTACATTCACTCCCACACCACCTCCAACTATTCACCATCAGTTTATTGTTCTGTTAGGAGACAATGTGTGTTTTTTTTTAGAGCAGAATTCAAGCAGAGCTGGATGGCGTTGTGCACCCTGGAGCTGGTGCTCGCAGACGGCTGTGCCCCCCCCCACCCCCCACAGGACGGGGTGCACCACAGCACTCTCAGGCAGCTTATCCAGCGGTTTGATCTTTCACATGCACACTTGCAGCCTCTGAGTTGCATCTAAAACGCAGACGGGATTCTTTCTGTAGGTTGCATCGGTATCATTCATTTCCCTCTAGTTAATAATTTCCTCAGTTACCAAAATTATCAACGACAAACTGGAGAAAACTGAAGACTTTTGACATAACCAGACTAATGGTATGCACGAAAGTAGAAATTGGAATCAAGATCGGTGACAGGTCAGGAGAGATGAGTGTGAATGTCTAAATATGTAGTTTCATTTGACCCAAAATGTCCTTCTTTGTTGCTAAAAATATATATATTTGCATGAACTGATTCAACTATCCTGTGATCATGAGACCTGTGAGGTGATGTGGCACAAACGTCTGTCACTTTTCAGCAATTTCACACCATCTGGTGAGCCGACAGTCAAACCCCAAACTACAGCAGCATCATGACCCTCTATCAGAAAGCTGCCCGCTGCTTCAGGGGGGAGCATTTAGTGGAACATTTACCTTAAAGTGATACAAATGCCTAAAGCTACAACCTTACCCCCCAAACAACAACATCAGAGGTGCACGCTGGCCCTCTTTCATTCAGACTGGGTGGAAATCAGAACAAACCACAGGCTGACTAATACCTTTCAGTTGATCTCTGCAAAGGTTTGAGGAAAGTCTCACACCGCTAGTTTAAACTGTTCACATATTTTTGTCCTGCATACAAAAGATCATTTACAAGATCTTTTTTTCAATTTTGGTTTTAACCCGGGACAAATCGGAGTAATGAAGCGTGGTGTATTTTACTGTACACCAGAGGCTGATCACCAGTTGGTTTCCCCTGTATACCATCACAAATATCCTCTGTAAACACGACATTAGAGATGACGCTAATCGAGGTAGGATGAAATCAAAACAGAGCGAGGATCCAGAGACGGATCCATGTGCGGTTAGGCTCACCAGCTCGTCGGCGATGGAGCCATGGGTGAGTCTCAGGCTGTCGGAGATGAAGTGCAGCGGCCCCCCGGAGGCCAGCGCCACCCCCAGCAGCACCAGCAGACGCACCGCTCCGCCGTGAGGAGTCATTCTGGATCAGAGAGTGGAGGAGGAACGGGGCAGACGTGCTGTGAGGAGTCCTGTTGGAGGAGTGTGGAGGTACTGGGGCTCTGGGCTGACCCGTACCTGTACTTATGCAGCTCCACCGGTTGCTTTTTTTTTCTGTGCGGTTGTGTTCTGTGGTCTGCTGGTTTTTTTCGACAGCAGCATCAGAAACTGCTGCAGTGACATCACTTTTCTCTTAAAAGTCCCTGTGCTGCTGCTCAAAGTGCAGAAACAGGAGACTCCCCCGGTTGCAGTTCCATTCAGGGCCCCATCAGCCCAGCGAGGAGAGCCCCTGGTCAGAGTGGTTTAGGCTGCAGGAAGGCCGCCGTTCTGCAGAAAAACCTCAACATACGCAGAATTTCTCTGCATTTTCTCTCTCTTCTGAGCTCATGTGCATTTGCAGATCTGCATAAATCTATCTTTCTAGTAAAACCCGTCCTGAAACCCTGAATTTGCACCAGACTTGCAGCATAATCAGAAAGGAGTTGCATCAGAAATAAGTTATCTAAAAGAGGAGAGCGTTTGGCTCAGTTTGTTCAGTGTAGCCAGAAACCAGGCAGGCGCTTTGATACGGTTTAAGGACAGGGTCTTAACATGGCCCCCGCCGGGCCCCCCAGCTCCTACGACTGTCCTACGACTGCCAGGGAAACAGTGGAGGCCCTCTGAGTTCATTCTGATAGTTTGGAAATAATCCACTTAAAGCAGTCAGTCGTCTGCAAGCTGACGGCTGCTCACACTTCTGAGAGCTTCTCTTGAATCTGCAGTTTGGTGTATTTTGAAACTGTGCAGCTCTGCTCTCCTCACCGTGCACGCAGCACCACAAGCAATCTGCCCCCCCCCAGTCCTCCGCTTTGCACCTAGAATAAAACCCAGATTTACTTTTACCAGCTCTTCTCTCTGTCTGTGTCTGTTCATGGAAAGCTAACTCACTCCTGGTGTTTCTCTGAAGTTTGTGAGACCTTGAGAAGCTTTTTTAGTGTAATTTTGACCTGAAACATCACCAGTTATGTGATAATCAAAAGAAAAAGTAGACAAACTCTGCCATCCATCTGTCAGGGAGGTTGTTTGTGGGGTGATCAGAGACAGACACAGCAGGGCCGTAGCATAGCATGGTGCCACAGTCATCTCTGGACAGCTCTGAGATGATGGGAAAAGCTCAGCCAAACCTCTTGTGGCCGCTAAAAGGTCAGTTTTTGATGTAAACGGTTGCTGTGACGTTGAGGTGGGCCTTTTAAAGCCATGATGTTGGTCACAGATAGAAGAGAAAGCCCCTTTACTTTCCACTACTCTTCACCAATCGACACTCGAACGGTAAAGCTTTCGTTTTCTGGTTGAACTAGGTTCCCGCCATCTCTAGGCTTAGTCTTTAACAGGCTGATCAATCTTTAAGCCACTATGTATGGTTTAATTCAGGGGGTGTAATGTTGACTCCAGATGAGAAAAAAGTAAAAACCTATAAAGAGAAAGATGGAATGTACAAATTCTGCGTCAAAACTTCAGCCTGAAGCAGGAAGAGTGAGAGGACTTTTAAATGATGATGGACCCTAAGGATGCTCCGGTTCCTCTGAGGGGAGCCTCTCTTCTGTCATTTTCAGAATAAACTCTGATGGATGAGAGCTATTGGACATTAAGGTGCAACTGGGAAGCTTTAAAAGACTTTTTTTTTTTTTTAAAGAGATGATTTGACTGATTTGATCCTCGGAAGAGCAGGTCTGATTCTACAGCAGCTGTTGAACCCATCTGAACAGGAGAAGTCAAGTCGACTAGGGTCTCTTAGGTTTCCTCTTTCTGTCTGCTCCTTTCTACGCACTTCTGGAAGGCTTTTAATGCCCTGCAGCGCTGCACCACTACAGCATTTTTTGTTATTTCTGTATGTTTTGTATGTCTTTTTGTATTGTTTTATGGCTTTGTTGTAAAGCACTTTGAGTACCATTTGGGTATTGTAAAGGGCTATACAAATAAAATTGATTGATTGATTGATTGATTGATTGATTGATTGATTGATTGAATGCTACTATGTCCCCGTTCTTTACATTTTCTGTGATTTTTAGAAGAATTTCCCTCTTGGCTTTTTTTAAGGGCCACACGAGATGAGACGAGATGGAGTTCTATTCTGCCCAACTAAGTCGATGGACTGGTTCCCTCCGTTAGGTAATAAGTCATTCATGACGTCATGTTCAGACACCAGCAGGATAACAGAAGGCTTTGCCTGTGTGGAGGCTTTAAAGGTTGAGCTTTTGAAGAGGTCAGAAGCCAGGGTTCGGTAAATTACTTTATGAAATCAGTGTGTCTGCCGCTGTGCTGCTGGACAACCTGTACTGAGCTGTAACCCCTTTTGTTTTTCTGGTGAAGCTACATAGAAGGGTCCAGATTGGTGGAGTGAACGGATGAGAGCCCCTCCGGCCTAGAGATGTGTCCCTGCCTCAAATGGAGGAGTCTTAATTATCGTGAGTGATGAGGGGATTGGGTTAGGGTTAGGTGTTGGACATGAGTTTCTTTTAGAGCCTTACAGAAAGGGGAGGAGCCCCACCCTCCGAGCAGCCTCTGGCTGCAGCCTGTAGGAGCTTCGGTAGGATATCCAGCTCCTCCCACATCCAAGTCGGCCATTTTGATTAGGTCACGTGACTCGCAGCTTTCTCAGGTGGAAACTAAACTTTACTGTCTATACGAAATTGGAAGACAAACGATGTCCTAACCCTAACCCTCCACCTTTCATAATTGTGAGGAATAACTAATTTTTGTTAAACTTGTTTGGACTTATTGTACAAACCTATTTAACATCCGATATTTTAACATAATATTATGGATAGAGTTTAAATAAGTGTTTGCAAGATTAATTTCACCATTTTTAAATGAATGTCTATATTGCCATGAAGCAATTATGATTTTCTTTCCTGGGATCTTCCTATTGGTGACTTAATCAAAATGGCCGACTTGGATGTGGGTGGAGTTGGATATCCATCCTTGGCTTCCTGCAGTCTGCAGCCAGACGGACTCACACCATCCAGAGTATAGCCAATGCTCTTCCACATAGAAAGGAATCGGCTGATTGGACTTTTCCTAGTTTCTAACTTTCTGAGGTTTTCCAAGTGCATCCAGATAGGATCTGACCCTTCTGACCTGGATCCCCCACAGGAGCCTGAGAGTTATCTGACCACACCAGAGGAAATAATGTAATGAAAAGAAAAAGAGAAGTGGTTTATCACACAGTGTAGTTTAGAAGTGATGGCCCTGTTCAGTCACTGTTGGGTGACATCATCCGACTGCCTCAGTGGTGATACCAGGTCATGCTATGGCCTCTAAGGTTGGAGTAAGTGGAATCGGTACGTATGAGCACCGTGGAAACGCTGTGACCAGGTTTTTCTGCTGAAAGGAGCCCTCCCTGCGCCGTGTCTGCCGGTGGAAATGCCACCGCCAAACATTCAGCGAAAGCTGAATCATCACTGTGGCAGCATGCAGTTTTTGTGGTTAGAAAAACTATTTCTGAAACATTGAATTGTGCAGTGTGTGGCAGAATCTTTGCAATTAAGATGTTTAGGTGTATCTCCACAGTGGTTTTAGCGTAAGAGCTTTCCTAGCATGTGATGAAACAATCGACTGAGTAACCTTGGCAACGGGCGTGCTCACCTGGTTCTGGTATTTACTTATTTCCTCAGAAAGACGGATGTTAGGCGGCAACAGGCTTTGATTCCAAATTTGGACGATGTGGTCAGAATGTTAGCATTGTTAGATGAAGGTTGTAATCCAGGAATTATGTTTTTGTTTCTCAGCAGTCACAAGAATTTGAATTGGATTTATGAATGGATTTCTGTCACAGACAGAGACAGATAAAAGCTTGTAGAATGACATGTTTTATTCACTACAAAGAAAAAATGGATCAGTTTTAAAAGCACTTAATCATCTGGGTTGGCTTTTCGTCACCATGCCTTGGTTTTACAATATACAATACAATATACAATACAACTAAGATTATAAATAACCCAACTGAGGTCAACTGAACAGCAACCAGACACAAACTGACCTCCAGACAGAACCAAGGCGGCTTAAAAAGGGGGAACTGGCCTAAACTGAGGGAGGAACATAATAGAAGTACAATAAACACAAAACCTAACAAAATAGAAGCAAAATAATATTTAACTTAATACAAATAATATATTGAAATAACAAAATAACTTAGGGCTCAATTGAATCTTGCTTCAAAATGAACTTCCCCCCCCCAGAAGACCAAGGCCTCCACCTCCAGCTGGATCATAATTGGGGCCCTTAATGGTGGTGGTAGTACAGTGGTAGGGGCCTACGGGTGGTCTCCAGGGGGACGGCTGGGCAGAACCCCCCAGTCTGGTTCTCACAGATAATGCTCCACCTCTATGGTGGTCTGTCCTGAATATTTCAGGCTGCAAACATCTTTCCCCAAATGTTCAGCGAGCCAAACGTCGGAACCGAGCCCCGTCTTTAGGTCCAGATGTTTAAAGGCGACCAGATCCTGGTATGTTTTTCTCTGGGACATGATCTGGCTACCTAAAGATGCCATGGTTGCAGCTCTGTAGCTTTCAGGATTCAAGGTAGTGGTTATTTAAGCATTTTTAGAAAGCACATAACTGTTTCCTGCTGCCTTAATTGGAATAGATAGTTTTTTCCTGTGGGCCAACTGTCAGTCACACACACACACACACACACACACACACACACACACACACACACACATATCTACCACATCCTCCTGTGCAGTGGGTAACCAGAGTTGACTTTCCCACCAATGTTTTGAAAGAAAATATGCATTTCTTAAAAAAAAATTTTTTTTAAAATGCTTTGAAGTTGCCCTTACAATGATCCCTGAGGCATCCCAGGAAAAGAGCTTTTAGGAAGCTCAGTACCATCTTTTATTTCAGATTATTTCAAAAAGGTTTTTTCTTTCGAAGAAGTTGAGCCGTAAAGGGGAGAGATTCCCCATCTGAGGCGAGTGGCTTTGTGAGAGCCGCTACGTTTGTGACTCAGACACAAAGATGCATCTGGATGCTGTTTGATTCTAGATAAGCATTTAAGAAGCTGGGTTTATGCTAGGCCTGGTTTCGGTATATTTGTTTTTTTAGTGCCATGTTAAG